CACCAAGAGTAAGGTGTTCACGGCCCAAGAAGTTCTTGGACCGTGAACTCCAAACTCAAGGGCCAAAGAGTGCCCTAATCACTCCTAAAGCCTTGGAACTACAACCTTGATTTACTCCTAGTTATTTAGGGACATTAAATCATCAAATGCCCATCCCAAAGAGAGATTACGGCCGTAATCTCTTATGGTTTTGGTCTTTGGGACGTGAACATTAAAAGGGGGTACCAAAGTGTGCCCAAGGCCTTCATTAGCCTTAGATAATTGTCTAAAACCTATCCTAGATGAGTATAAGACATGAAAACATAAAAACACCCCTCTTCATATGAGTTTATGGCAGTAAACTCAAAAGGAATTGGCCTTGGGGCCGTAAACTCATCAAAGGAGTGTATAAGTGCCCTAAACCCTTCCAAGAATTAATCCACTAAGTAGGAATGCTTCTAGGGATCATTTAGAACTTCAAAACACCAAATGACATTAAGATTAGGAGTTCAAGGTCGTAAAATCAAGGGTTTATGACCATAAACTCCATGTGTGAGGTTTATTGGAGAGTAAACTCATGTATGTGGTCCTTTAGAACCCTAAACTCACTAGTTGGGTCCTACAACAACTTAGATGTAATCCTTAGGGCTAATAACACTTATTATAAGTGTTTAACATGTTCTAGGTGGTCTAAACAATTTCAATTAGTAGTTAAATCTAATTGGGTATACATATGTGTGATTATATGTTAACTAGGATCATAGCGTGTGTTCAAGACTTCACTTGACACCTAGCAATCCTACATCTTCAGTACATCCGTACCACTCACTACAGGTGAGTTCATACCCCTTAAACAATGGTTTAAATGTTTTTAATTGCTTTTATTGGGGGGGGGGGGGAATACAAGTCAAATGATTATAGTTATTACATCAATCACATGTGATTAATAACTACAAAACCAGTGATTTCCTTATTGTTCAAATTGCTTATCAAACTGTTTTGCTTCAAACTGTTTTACAAGTTCTTATACTTATTAAATACACTTGCTTAAACTACTGTTTTACTTATTTTCAATTGCATGTCTATGTATGTATAGTTATATAAGAAATGTTTAAAGGACTTAGGAAGGCTATCCACCCTATTTCCTTTTCGCGCTTGAGATGTGGTCTGGTGGGAAATCGGGTACCCGTCTGAAGGTTGTTTAAATGTTAGTTATATATCATGTGTACATATATAGTCATAAAAGGTCTTTCCAGTTCATTCGGTACCCTTGGGTAGCAAGGGTATACTTCTATGTTCATACGTACCAATACATCGCTAGTAAGTTACCATAGGGGTAGCACAGGAGGATACTATTATTACTAGAACAATGAAACATACAATGAGTCGGTTCATTCATGAGTCAATACTTGCTAAATAGAGAGAGAACACTCATTACAGCTAGTACACACAATACATTACTATACATGCTAGATAGAGAGAGAACACACATTACAGCTAGCACACACAGAACATTATAGTACATTACCATACTATTACATAGATATGTTTACATGATTACGCTTACATGAGTACGTTTACATAGATACGTTTACATGAGTGCGTTTACATATACAATAATAGGACATACATCATTAGGTGCTATAGCATAGAACGAGTTCGGGATCTAAAATATACCGATGAATCACAACGCATTGTGATAGTTATATCGGGTATACATGATCATAGTAATGTGGATGTTCACGGCGTGCAAATATGCAAGAGTCGTGTAAAGGTCCCAAAATCCCTTTGACTGGGGGGGGGGGGTCTATCCTGGGGATCTAGCCATCACATTAGGCCTTATCCCTCAAATAAGGCAATAGGAGTACATAGGTAGTCACTTATTACAAATACTACAGTACTTATAAGAATTACCCTAGACTTAAGGTAATTAGTACGGTTGTAGTACGACATTACACCATAGTACTATCTCATTTTTCCCATTAACATTCACTTCGTGAATATTCACACGATGCACGGTGATGTAGAATCTATATTTTTGGTTAATGATAGTCCGAATTGGGGAAAACACACACTCTACCAAGAGACATACACACATACACTAGATGCCTTGGTAGACTGCTACAGTTAGTAGGAAACATAGGGTTTTCTAGGAGAGTTCGAACATTATACAAAACATCTTACAGAAACATTTTACAAACATTTTCATACAAACTCAGACATTAATATACTTATGATCTCACCAGCATTAAGCTAATACTCGCTTTCAAAATAACTTGTATTCTCATGTCACCACTAGACAGGTACAGGTGCAAGGCTTTTGAGAAGATGAAGTTCGTTCAAGACTCATCTTTTATTTTGATATGTATATTTTTGGTATCTATAACCTTGACAGAACACACATGTATGAAAATATATTATTAATGCAATGGATGATGTTGTTGCTTGTTTACTATTATTCATTGTTTGTGATACTGTACATGACGTCCTCCACCCCAGAATGTTTTTGCCATTCATGGTTTTAGGGTGTGACATTAGAACACATATATCCTTATCATGGTTAAGGATCTCGAATAGATCATGATTTTTCACACATATTTATCAATAAGTTCCAGAAATCACACATATCATGCAAAAACACATAGATCTGCACATTTTACTTGTATTCTCCCCCATAAAACATGTGAAAACCGAAAATAGAGGGGTATGAACTCACCTTTGCTTGTTGTTTTCGGTTTTGAAGAAAGAATGGAAGAGTTTGATGTTATTTTCGGCCCTAGAAAGCTTCTTGAGAAAACTTTGGCTTAGATAGGTTCTAAGAAGCATGATCATGAACTTTCATGATTTAGAAGGAGATTTATAAAAGAATTAAGAAACTAAACCATGGATCTAAGTACAACTTACCAAGGATGATGATTTCTTATGGAAGAACCTCCTTGAAATCCCCTAGATCTCGAAATTTTGATGGAGGAATGAAGGTGTTTTTGAGAGAATTTGGAAAGAGTTGGAAATGAATTATGTATGTGTGTGTGTCTACCTTCGGCTGAGAGTAGGAGGGAAGAGGGGAGAGATAATTAGGTGAAGTGATAGGTGCACGCGGAGGAGAGGATGGTGCATGGATACCCAAAATGTAAAGATTAGGTGTCTAACCCTCAACAATTCACTTTTTTTTTTTATTATTAATATTATGGGTGTGGGCCGAGAATTGGGCTAGGAGAAAAGAGTTGAGTAGTTTGGGCCATTAGTTGCCCTAGTTCGAAATCATAGGCCCAATTTATTATTTTTCAGCCAATTGGGCTTTTAAGATATCTTACGGCCCAATAATTTTTAAAAGAGTGAGTTTTACGGCCCAATAAAGCTTATTAGTCTAGTTAAGGCCCATTAGGGTAATTTATTTCACTTTAGGCCCACTATGGCCCAAAATGTTAAATTTTATGAGAGTGGGTCCAATTAGAACCCATTTAAGGGTTCTAGGCCTAAAATAGTCAAATTGGAAGCTTATTGGTCCATTAGGCCCAATAAGGAAATCCTAGTCCATAATGGACTTAAACCGAGATTTATAGGGTTTCCAACCTTTTGTTGACTATTTGAATGTTTGTACAGAGTGTTTGATGGAAATTTTGTTGTCATTGAATAAACATCATACATGCTTTCAGGTTTTAATCACAATGTTATCCTTGTTAAGTGTTTACAAAGCATCAAAATTCTTAGTTGTGACAGATAATGAACTCCAGAGACCTTGATCTGCCTCTTTTCAATGTATAATGTGTTGTAGAGTCATAAAAATCCAGTCTTGGGCATTAGGAGTGAGCCATGCATGAGTTATGAGCTTATTAAGGGAAGGGAATGGGTGTTTTGAGTGTTTGTGACCTAATCACCATGCAAAGGCTTAAAATCATTGACTTTATGGGCGTAATCCCAGTACGCGCGGCGTAGGGGTCGAGCACCCCCGATGTCTGCATGGTAGCCGAGTACGCACAACGTAGAGATCAAGTACGCGCAACGTACTCCATATCGTTGACTTTTGTTGACTTTTAGGGTTTGGTCAAAATTATGGACTATTAAGCATAGGGAAGGGTAAAATGGTCTTTTCACCCTTCTGTGAGTATAGAAGGGTTAGTCTAGTTCTTGGAAGCCGATATTAATTAGGGATAATTATTATAAGTTAGGCGGAGGCTAGACTAATGGGTAGAGTTCGAGATTTCCGAGTTCGATGTTTCATTTGCTAGCTTACGAGGTGAGTCTTTTCACTATACTTACCTTGTATGGTAACTTTATGTGTGACCCGTGGGTCTTATGTGTATAAGCTGTGTTTTGAAATATCATGTTATCTGTTTTGTGATATGCTTACTGTGTATTATATTGAGCTGCTGAGTTGAGGGACCAGAGGGTCCATTTGAGTTATGGGACTGGAGGGTCCTACCGAGACACATTGATCGAAGAATCTTATTGAGTTATAGCCTCGAGCGACTAATGTGTTGTGTGTGGTATTTTGGGGAACTCACTAAGCTTTATGTTTACCGTGTTATGTGTTATGTGTTTCAGGTAGTTTCGAGAATCGCGACAAGACACCGACATGATTGTACACACTGGCGGGAGATTGTTTTTATGATTCTGAGATTGTTGTTTTATTTGTTGACAATTGAGACTTATGAGATTTTGAGAATTATGAAACAAGTTTTTAGTATGGTTGAAAATGAAAAAGTTGTTTGAAAATTTACGTATTGTAGCATGTAGATGTTAAAAAAACAAATACACTTTTTATTAAAGTCTGCAACCTTTTGGTTTATCTCTTTTGCTGCAGAGGAATACATAGGTAGTCCGTAGATTTAATGAATTTTTGTTTCAAAAAATTAGTTTTTTATATGAAGCAAGGACCAAAACTGCAAAATTCATAAAATATACGGATGAAACCTATCAATTTTTAGACCAACATTGCAAATCTTACCAAAGCACATGGACCATTTCTGTAATTTACTCGATATTGTATTTTGCACAAAAAAAAAAAAAAAAAAAAAAAAAATGGTTTTATGTCTCACGCACAAGACAATGTGATGCTGCCCAGTGCCCACCTTCCCCAAATCATCTTACCGCATGGTGTGGTGGGGTATAAACGGATCCATTGTGTTTTGTGTATATTTGATCGGCTGTTATCAGTGTCATTTTAAATATAATAAAAACAATGGAAAAAAAAAAAAGATCAGGCGCATGGTAAGGTTCTCGGCCATAGTAGTTACAAGTCAATGGCTACCAAACACATGAAAAATGACATATTAATCCATCGCACCTTATTGGCCTGTAGTCTGTAGATAAGCGGAAGTCTGAAGTCTCATAACCCTAATCCTCCATTTTTGCATCGATATTCAGTTATTCAGAAGGCTTCTGTTTTTTATTGTCTTACAGGTACTCATTGTATCTACTACTCTAGTATTATAAGTTGGTATTTGATGCACAATTTGACATTTGCTTGGATCGCATAGAGCTGTTGTGTTGATAGTCATTGGAACTGTGCAGTTTATAGTTAAGGTGGAAAGCGTATTCGAATATTATATATTGCGTCTTCACGACTAAATTTATGACCGGTTTGGATTTGTTGATGAGATTTAAGTTTTGACTAAATTTAGAGTCAAGATGAAGGAAGTTATTGAAGGTTTAATAAACATGACAGAGCTAAGGGGATATCCCCAAAACAAAAATGAAAGATCGATTTGTAGTTTTCCATGCTTATTAATGTAATTACTCGGCTTGTTATATGGCTAATCATTAGGTATATGTCATTTTTGGCTCTGTATATGGACGAGGAGAGTGATAAGTTTGAATTTGTATATTTATAAATTTCGTTTAGGTCATTTTAGTATATAATTTAAACTGCCAGTGGTGACAACAGAAACTCGGATGATCTTGTATTTCTCCCAGTTTAAGTAGAAAAGGAGCATGTTAAATACTAGAGTCATTAGTTGTTTGTGATTCAATTCAGAATCCCCCGTTGGGTTATTTATCTTTGTATCCTCTGTCTTAGCGAATTGTATGATTAACAACTGTTGTTTGTTGATTCTTAGATTATACAAGCAGTTTTACATCAACTGTGGTTTGATGGAGCAATTGACAGTTGAAAATGTCCAACTACTTCCTGCAAAAAATGATGACCATGGAGGTGTAGTGATAGAGCTTGAGGAGCATATGGACTCGGATGTCTTTCTAACACTGCTTAAAACCTCATTGTCACAGTGGACAACGCAGGTTCTATTCTGATGCTGAAATAGAAGTCTTCACAAATCATTACTTTATTTCTTTTTATATATGATACATGAAATTAACTTGTTTATTGAGTTGTGTTTGTGTAATGTAATAATTATGGGAAGGTTTTGACAGGGAAAGAAGGGCGTTTGGATTAAAATACCAATCCTTCTTGTTAATCTTGTGGAACCTGCAGTGAAGGTAGGTGTTGTTACTTGTAATAGAGTAATAGTAGTATAAATTGGATTATGATTTGAATGATAACATGAAAAATTCAAAATTGTGTGGGCACTGGCAGGAGGGTTTTTGTTATCACCATGCTGAATCTGATTACGTGATGCTTGTTAAGTGGATTCCTGAAACAACAAGCACTATCCCTGCAAATGCTTCTCATAGAGTAGGTGTTGGTGCTGTTGTCTTGAATCACAAACGAGAGGTAGGTATTTTGGGCTTATTATATCTATATTATTATTTATTATTTATTTTTTGTTTGTTGATTTACAACAGATGCTTGTTGTCCAAGAGAAGAATGGGCCATTACGTGGAAAGGGTATCTGGAAGGTCCCAACTGGAATTGTTGACGTGGTATATAATAATATTTTTTTTTTTAGATTATTTTGCCAAGAAAGACACATATATATATATATATATAATATAGCTTTCTCCAGTAAAAACTAACAGAGTCCCTTCCATTCCATTGCGCAGGGTGAAGATATCTGTACAGGGGCGATTAGAGAAGTCAAAGAAGAGACTGGAGTAAGTTAGTTGACTTTAATTAATTATATGATATGATATTCCAGCTTTCACTGATAAATGTTAACATGTTTCAGATAGATACAGAGTTTGTTGAAGTACTAGCATTCAGGTAAACGTTTGTGTCTCCTAAATAAAATTATCAATGTTTAAAATGTGGAAAGAATAGAATTAGAATTTGAATTGTGTATCTTTCCAGGCAATGGCACAAGTCATTCTTTGAGAAATCGGATTTATTCTTTGTGTGCATGATGCGGCCACTGTCTTTTGAAATCCAGATTCAAGAAGTAGAAATTGAGGCAGCCAAGGTTTTGTTAATTCAACTCTTTTAATTCTATGCACTGAAAAGTTTCGGTGAAAACACTATTTAACACTTTTTCTGCAGTGGATGCCAGTGGAGGAAGTTGCAGCTCAGCCTTTTGCTCAGAAAGAGAGTTTGTTGAGGTACATCACTGATTTATGCATAGCAAAGGTAGAGAGGGATTACTCTGGATTTTCTCCGCATCCTGTAACATCAGGTGTTATTTATCTCAACAAGCGAGATCTAAATTAAAAAAATAATCCTACAGACAATGGTTCACCATTTATAATCTATTGTAACGTTACATGATAAAAAGATTGAACCCAAATGTTATAGATGTCTGTTTTACAATAGAAGAGATGCAACAATGTATAGAGGTTAACCCTACTCTACATAAATCCTACGGGTGAATGGAAAATTGAGTCTAATATTTATTTATCATTACCCTCTTGTTAAAACTGTAATTAACAAATGGACCAAAACTGAAATGAAAACCTGGACATAAAATGTAAAAAGAAAAAAATAAAATAAAATCGAACCTAAACAAAATGAATCACCAGCCACAAGGATACCTTGCAGCGTATTCTAAAATTTAATATAGATAACTCCAGATATTTCTGAGACGTATCAGAAGCTTCTATGACAACAAATATTTTTATTTTGGGATTTATTTTAAATTCTATTAGATATATCTCATGGTAAACTGGGTGTCTGTTTATTGGATCAATGAATTGGCGTTGTTAAATGGCGAGTAACATGTGGTTTGGATCGATAGAAGTTGGTTACGGGTTTTGAATTTTTTTAGCCCACCATCCCAAAAGTTTAGCCACATCAATGTCACAAGATCACCATTTTACCATCACTTACCATAAGAAATACCCACAGCTGCACTGCTTACCTTAAAATCTGAGTTTTTTAAGGATATTTCAAATATGGAAGCTGAGAGAGTTTTTAAAATTTTCACTTTAATAAGAAAACATCGGCAATTATACCCCTATTTGAATTAGGAAATACTAAGAGAAAAAAAAATCTCATTTTTGTTTCCTAAAACTCAAGGAAAAAAAAAGAATCTTCTTCTACCGATACAATTATATTATTTTCTACTAGTTTATAACCCGTGAGAACCACAGTTATAAAATTAATTAAATTTTCTTAGTAAAAACTTAAAATTATTAATCAGTTATTTTAAATAAATTATTAATTAAAAGATATTTTTGTAGTTATATAAATTTATAATCGGTTACTTAAATAAATGCATTAAATTATATCACATTATAATATGTATTTATTTTATTATATTTTTTATTTTAATGTTATTAATTTAATTTAATTGGACTGTGAAACTTAGATTTTGAAATATATCTCCCTATTCTAATAAAAGAATAGTTTTAATCTCCTTTTTACATGTGTCATTCTATTAAGTCTCCTAATTAATGCATATTTTATTCTACTTTTGCCATGTGTCACCCTATTAGGCTTCTTCATTAATGAATGTCATTTATCAACCTATTAATTCTCAATTTTAAATTTTAAAATTTAAATTTCTCACTTTAATTACATTAGAATAAAAATTAATACAAATTATAAAGTAATATAATTTCACATATTTATTTAAATTAACGATTATAATTTTATATAACTAAAAAAATATCTCTTACTTAATAATTTATTTGAAATAATTGATTGATAATTTTAAGTTCTCACTATAATAGTTTAATTAATTTTATAACTGTGGTTCTTACGGGTTATAAACTAGTATATATTCTAATAAAAGAATATGTTTAATCTCCTATTGACAAGTGTCATACAATTAGAATTTCTCATTAATGTTATATATCATCTATTATGCCACTTGTCTACCTATTAATTATTCATTTTAAATTTTAAATTTTAAATTTCACTCTAATTACATTAAATTCATAATTGATTATCCATTTCAAATTCTAAATTTTCCATTCTAATTACATTAAATTAATAATTGATTCTTCATTTTAAATTTTATATTTTAAATTTTCTCACTCTAATTATATTTAATTAATAACATTACATTGAAAAAAATTAATATAGATTATAAGATGATACTTCACGTATTTATTTAAATCAACGATTATAATTTTATATAACTAAAAAAATATTTCTTAAGTAATAAATTATTTAAATAATTGTTTAATAATTTTAATTTTTAATATGAAATTTTAATTAATTTCATAATTGTGGTTATCATGGGTTATAAACTAGTTTGAAATGAAGAATCAATTATCAATTATCTCCCTATACTAATAAAAGAGTAGTTTTTTTTGTCATATGTCACCATATTAGGCCTTGTAATTAATATCATGCCACTTGTCAATCTATTGATTATCCATTTCAAATTTCAAATTTCAAAATTTAAATTTCTCATATTAATTACATTAAATTAATAACATTGAAATAAAAAATAAAATAAATTTTATACAAATTATAATAAAATAAAATTTATACAAATTATAAGATGATATAATTTTACGTATTTATTTGAAGGGTAAATTACACGAATGGTCCCTATGGTTTGGGGTAATCTGCGTATTTGGTCCCTAAGAGCTTTTTTTAACTCGGAAGATCCCTAAGATATATTTTTGTTACGCGTTTAGTCCTTTCCATACCTAAAAAGACTAAATTACCCTTCTTTATTTCTTTTTTCATTTATTTGTTATTTATTTATTAAAAATGTTTATTAATAAGATGGGACCACTTGTATAATTTACTAGTTAAATGTATTGCCTATAATTATCCTTCCACTCATCTGATTTATCTCTTGCCGGAGTAAACTACCACCCTTATGCCACCGGAAGTCACCACCACCTCTAGACTAGACTAATTACCACGATCTCTCCCACCGGAAAAAAATCAAAAAACTCAGATGAACCTCGATACCTCAATTTGTAGAATGAATCAGCATCACATTCCACCCATCAGATTCCGACACCACCCCTGTTTTCGGATGAGTTATCCGGTATAAGTCTTCGAGGGAAATTAGACCACTAATTGTGGATCTAAGGTTGGGTAATATGGAGTTGTGGAACGATTGGGAGAATATCATAATTAAGAGAGTGGTTTAGAGGTAAAATGAATTTTGGAATAGTCCGCCAAGGCTGAACCCACAGTGACTACAAATCTCACGATTTTTCCCAAAACCTGATGTTCAAAAACCGGTTCAAAAGACCATATTTGTGAAACTCTTCTTTGTGAGAAATCAATATTTAGAAACAACGCCTTTAATGATTTTTCAGAAACCCTTATATTTGAATCCCGATGAAACAACGCCATTCATGATTTTTAGAAACCCTTATCTGTGAGAAATCGATTCTCAAACCTGCAACAAATGAAAGGGATCGTGTAATCATTTGTGGGTGCATCTGGTTCATCGATGTTCTAGAACGTACGTCGATTCCCCACCGTGATGCTCTGACGAAACCATATACCAACACCAGTTGTAGATGGGATTCTCGTTGGCAATAAGATCGTTCAATAATTTATGGATTTCTCGAAGATGGAGATAAGGGTCGCCTACGAGGGTACGGTCGTCGACGAAGGAGGATTCCGGCGTCTCCTAGTCTGGTGCCAAGGTGTCAAGTAGGGTGAAAAAAAGTAGAGAGGTCGAGATTTGGGAGACTGAAGCGACGATCGGAGGGTGAAGGTAAGGGGTGGGAGTGGGCCCCATCTTATTTAATAAATAGTTTTTGATAAATAAATAACAAATAAAGAATAAACAAACTAAAAAGAAATAAAAAGGGCAATATAGTCTTTTTAGGTGTGGTAAGGACCAAACGCATAACAAAAATACATCTTAGGGACCTTCCGAGTTAAAAAAAGCTCTTAGGGACTAAACGCGCATATTACCCCAAACCATAGGGACCATTTGTGTAATTTACCCTTATTTGAATCAACGATTATAATTTTATATACAACTAAAAAAATACTTTTTAATCAAACTAAAAGATAATTCATAAAATGTTTTTACAAAAAGTCTTATACTCTTTTTCACCAATACACATTCTATCTAGATAGAAACCGTCTCGTCGCATTGCAACTTCACGTATTTGTCTTTACTTGAATTAGATAAATAAAGTTCTTCATTTTGTATCATAAAACTTTATTTATCTACCTCCAAATTTGAATCATAGACTATCTATTAGAGATTCACATAAAAACAAATATGTCATATTGCAATACGAACGGGTAGGTTTCTATCAAGATAAAATGTATATTGGAGATAAAGAGTATACCAAACTTTTTATAAGTACATTTTATGAAGAGTAAATTACACGAATGGTTCCTATGGTTTAGGTTAATTTGCACGTTTGGTCCCTAACTTATTTTTTTAACTCGGAAGGTCCCTACTGTTTTTTTTTTGTTACGCGCTTGGTCCCTGTCTTACTTAAAAAATCTATTTTTCCCTTTATTTTTTAATTTATTTAAATAAACACACCCCTAATTTCACCCTTCTCACCTTACCTTACGTACTGCATTATTTTTTCCTATTTAAATAATAATCTTTTTAGGTACGACAGGGACCAAGCGCGTAACAAAAACAAACAATAGGGACCAGACACGTAATAAAAACAATCAGTAGGGACCTTCCGAGTTAAAAAAATAAGTTAGGGACCAAACGCGCAAATTACTCAAACCATAGGGACCATTCATGTAATTTACTCTTTTATGAATTATCTTTTAGTTTATTAATCATGTGATGTTGTTTTATTATTGAAGGCGCTCGTGCAACATCTTTTATGACTTCTTTTAAAACTTATTGAAGAACTTATAACCTAAAAATAGAATTAATGATGTAAAAAATAACCAAAAAGAAAAAATATTAAATATTAAAAAGAATTATATAAATGTCAAAAGAAAGAAAGTTGGTCATGGTTTTGTTGTATTTTTGACGGTGGCAGTATCTTCTATGATTGTTTTGCAATATTTTCTATCATTTTTTTTTTAAATTTATTGAAGGTGTTTTTAACCTAAAAAAAATAATAAAATAAAAATGTGAGGAGTATGAAAAATGACCAAAAAAAAAATTAAAAGATGAAATAGTAAAAGAAGAGGTGTAGATGCTAAAGAACGCAAATTTGGGTGGCGTAAACAAAAGAAGAAAAATGATATAATTATAAAAGTAAATCAAGTGTGGAAGATGGTTCATGGTTGTTTATGGTCGTTAGTTTTTTGGAAACTTTTTTCTTTGCTATTTCCTAATTCAATATCTTTCAATTCGGTGGAACAATTGAAAGATTTCTTGGAAAAATCACCCCCTTCAAATATGTTTCCAAAACTTATGTTGTATGCACATAATTTAATTATTTGAAATTTAAAATGGTAGTTACTTTTGTACACGTCTATTGATATATTATGCTTTTAGTGTATAACTAGAGGTTTTAACCCCGCGCGTTGCGGCAGGAGTTTTAAACGATAATTTTTGTGATATACTATGTTCTTT